CACACACTGCTTAATAATTCTTGGATTAAAAAAGAAAGCAATTACAAGCTACTTAAACAATCATGAGAGGCCCATGCTATAGCTACACAGTGGCATTTGAAAGAAATAGCCTTACCTGCATTTACAAGAAAACAGGAAAGTCTGCAAAGAACTGAGTTATGCTTTCACCTTGAGAAGTTAGAAAAAAATCAAAGTAAGCCCAAGAACAGAATTAGTAAACATGAAAGCATAAATTATCAAGATCAAAAGCGAACAGCAGCAACAAAAATGTAGTTTTGGTGAACAGAGCAAAGATATGTGAGCAACATTCAGCATGTCAAAGGACAGGATGTAACTTTAAAGCATTAAGATGACTTTCTCAAAAACTAAAAATGTCCAAAATTAGGGAAAAATGAAATAGAAACACCATACAGACCAGTCTCCATGAAGTATTTTGAAAATATTTTCAAAGATCCACACCTGGGGCTTCCCTGGTGGCGCAGTGGTTAAGAATCCACCTGCCAAGGCAGGGGATGTGGGTTCGAGCCCTGGTCCAGGAAGATGCCACATGCCGCGGAGCAACTAAGCCTGTGCACCACAACTACTGAGCCTGCACTCTAGAGACCGCATGCCACAACTATGGAGCCCGCATGCCACAACTACTGAAGCCCATGCGCCTAGAGCCCGTGCTCCACAACAAGAGAAGCCAGTGCAATGAGAAGCCCGTGCACCACAACGAAGAGTAGCCCCTGTTTGCTGCAACTAGAGAAAGCCCACGTGCAGCAAGGAAGACCCGACACAGCCAAAAATAAAATAAATAAAATAAAATAAATTAAAAAAAAAAAGATCCGCACCTGTAAACAACGACAGGTCCAAGACACTTCATGGCAATGGCAAATTCTATGGACATTTGCAATTTATATAAGCAGTGTCAGAGCATAGTAAAAATACATGTTAAAATCCTAAATAAAATATTTGCATATGAAGTCCTGAATTTATCAAAAGAACATTACATCGTAAGCAACTAGAGTTTGTCTTAAGAATGCTAAAAAGGCTCAACGTTAGAAAATCCATTAATATATGTTATTACATTAACAGATTAATATAGAAAATTTATGTGATCATCTCAATAAATGCCAAAATACCATTTGCTATAATGTCACCTGTTACATGAACAATAAGAACTACAACAAAACTCTTCAAATTATTTAATAATCTCAAAAAAAGGGAGTCCTAAGTAAGACATGATATCCAGAAGCCATTAAATAGGAGACTCATACATTTTACTACATTATAATATATGCTGGGCTAAAATATGGTGTACACCACACCACTGCAAGATGTTAATAACAGGAGAAACTGTGGGCAGTGAGAATGTGGGGAGAGTGGGTATATGGGAACCATCTGCTTTCTGTTCAATTTTTTATAAACCTAAAAGTGTTCTAAGAAATAAACTCTATTAACATAAAATAGATATGTATATGTATGTATAGGTACGTATATCAACAAAGAGGAACAAACAACAACAAACTACAGAAAACACTTGTAACGCATCTATCTCATTTTGTTAGTGAAATTGTAAGCTGAAGCATGGCCTCTTTTAGAAACTTTGAATTAAAATTAAAAATCCACATGCTCTTTAGTTGAACAAGTTTATTTTTATGAGTTTAACGTATAGAAATACTCATAGATGAATACAAATATTTACCTATAAATGTGTTTATTCCAGATTGTTTATAGTAGGAAGAGACTGAAAACTGCCTAAATGGCCATCAGAAGATTCTAGGGACTATGACATATCCATGAAATGAAATACCAGGCAGTCATGTTTTTGAAAAAGAATTAGATTTATAAGCACTGATATGGAATGACATATTCAAAAGTGTAGCTGGTAGTGCTGTGGCAGAAAGCAACAGTGGCATGGAACAATTGGTGTTTGTTAAGGGTGTGTGTGTGAGAGAGAGACAGAGACAGAGACAGAGAGAATCCATGCAGAGCCTACCTAGAGAAGGATGCACATAAAAAAATGTCAACAGGCAGATGAATGGATAAAGAAGATGTGGTTCATATATACAATGGAATATTACTCAACATAAAAAAGAATGAAATAATGTCATTTGCAGCAACACAGATGGACCTAGAGATTATCATACTAAGTGAAGTAAGCGAGACAGAGAAAGACAAATACCATATAATATCACTAATATGTGGAATCTAAAAAAATGATACAAATGAACTTATTTACAAAACAGAAACATAGACATGGAAAACAAACTTATGGTTATCAAAGTGAGGGAGGGATAAATTAGGAGTTTAGGATTAGCAGATACAAACTACCATATATAAAAAGCTAAATGACAAGGTCCTACTGTATAGCACAGGGAAATATATTCAATATCTTGTAATAAACTATAATAGAAAAGAATATGAAAAAGAATATACATATAAATTTACATATGACTGAATCACTTTGCTGTACACCAGAAACTAACACAACACTGTAAATCAACTATACTTCAATTTAGAAAAATAATAACTTAAAAAAAAAGGTGACAGAACTGGTGCTAGGAGAGAAAATGGGGACTGGAAGTCAGGGATGTGAGGGAAATTATTTTTCACTGTTTATTTTTATTTTCTTTGAAATTTTCCCATGTACATATACTTAAAAATATATATCTTAGGGGGAAAAAAACCCAAGTAACTATGAATATAAGAGAATATTCTCAATTAGATAAAGGTTATCTATCTCAAACCCACAACAACAGTCAGACATCAGAGTGACACATTAGAATCAGTCCCATTAAATTCAGACATAAAATAAGGATATGTACTATTTGTGCTAATATTCAAATTGTACCTGGTGCAATAAGATGAGGGGGAGGTATAAATGCTAGAAATGATCAAAATTATCACTTTCACAAATGGTATAATTATCCACATAGAAAATCCAAAAGAATCAACTGAAAAATTATTCAAACTTTTAAATTTTATTAGAATATTTTTATGTATTGTAAGAAGTTTATCCAGGTAGTCAAATAAATATAAGATTCACATACAGAAATCAGTAGCTTTTTTATGCATCAGATAAAACCAACCTAAAAGTGTAACTTAAACACACACACACACACACACACACACACACACACGCATTAAAGATAGCCACATTTCAAAATATACAGGAATAAACACAGAAAAGAAACATACCATACTTATGTAAAAAGAGTTATAAAGCTTTACCAAAGAACATAAAATAAGATTTGAATAAATGGGGAGATACACCACGGTATAAAGATGTCGATTCTCCTATAAGTTAATATCTAAATTCAGGGAAGTTCCTATCAAATTGCCAGTGGATTTACTTGACAAACTTATTCTAAAATTCATCTATAAGAAAAATATTTAAATAGAAACAAGAAAATTTTGATATAGAATGATGGTGACACTGCTCATTTAAAGGGCAATATAGGGCTTCCCTGGTGGCGCAGTGGTTGAGAGTCCACCTGCCGATGCAGGGGACACGGGTTCGTGTCCCGGTCCGGGAAGATCCCACATGCCACAGAGTGGCTAGGCCCATGAGCCATGGCCACTGAGCCTGCACGTCCGGAGCCTGTGCTCCGCAACGGGAGAGGCTACAACAGTGAGAGGCCTGCGTACCGCAAAAAAAAAAAAAAAAAAAAGGCAATATAAATGGCCCCTGAGTGGGAAAAGATGGCCAACTTCACTAATAATCAGAGAAATGCAAAATAAGAAAATAACAAGATACCATTTTTTTGTCCTTAAATATCCTGAAATATCTAAAAGATAATTTGAGGGGGGAGAGAAACAGAAACTCACAGATACTGTAGATGGAAGTTTAATTGTTCCAGTCTGTTTTGAAGGTGGTTTGGCGGTGTTTATTAATACTCTGTGCCTATGGGCCAACTTGGCACTAAGAAGGTAACTTTCAGAGATGACTCCAGAGCACATTTAAACATGCACCCAAAGAGCCCGATAAAGCATGTTCAGGTAGCACCGCGTCTGACAGTCAAAAATTAGACGCAATTCAAAGGCTCATTAGTAAGATAGTTTTTTAAAACACGGTGCATCCGTATTAGGGGATACAGTGCAGTAGTTTATTCATACTGACACTGCAAGGACTTCAAGATCAGTTATGTACTTCAAGAACATATGTACTGTGTAACACAGTTTATGTTCAAAATTTCAATGTATTAATAGTTATGCACATGCATGTGATGGTAAAAGCACTGAATAAAAACAAATGGTTAGGGACTTCCCTGGTGGCACGGTGGTTAAGAATCTGCCTGCCAATGCAGGGGACACGGGTTCGAGCCCTGGTCCGGGAGGATCCCACATGCCACGGAGCAGCTAAGCCCGTGCGCCACAACTACTGGGCCTGCGTGCCACAACTATTGAAACCTGCATGCCTAGAGCCCGTGCTCCGCAACAAGAGAAGCCACCACAGTGAGAAGCCCGTGCATTGGAAGGAAGAGTAGCCCCCACTCGCCACAACTAGGAGAAAGTCTGCGTGCAGCAACGAAGACCCAACACAGCCAAAAATAAATAAATTTTTAAAAAAATGGTTAGCTTACTTCTGCGGACAGGACAAGGATTAGAGATGTGGTGAAATCAAAGGGAACTCCTGCTTTCTCTGTTTGTTTGAAATTTCAAGATAAAAATGTAAGCCTATATTAATTATGTAATTTAAAACCTCTCCCAAAAGTTAATGTGGCAATTTCAAAATTTAAGCACATTTTTGTTTAAAACACATTCATTTAAAATGTGTATGTCATCACGTATCTTTATTTTATAAGGACCTGAATATTTTTCAACCTTATTAAAACCATAAAAATACTTTAAAGGTGGGGGAGTGGCAACATTACCTGTTGCCTTTCTGGTTTCCCTATATAAGGACTTTATGTTTCTTTATGTTATCACTGCAAGAAAACTTCACCTCAGCATTGAGGCACATACAGTCTATATTCTCTAATCCTAAACAAATCTTACGTCAAACCTCAGTGCTGGATCAGAAAATACATACTTTTAGAATGTGTGATGAAATAACAATATTGCAAAACTCATCAGGAATCTTCTGGAAGGGTTAGGGCTCCAGTGGAGAACCGGCCTTTTTGTTAATCACGAACCTTACTTTTGGATTCTTTTTCAAATACTCTGTATAGCTTTGCTGGGGAATAAATTTAAAAGTGTTCCATAACTCATTATAATGTCTTGGAAAGCGTCTGAAAATTGGGACCACCACAGCTTCCTGACAGACGTATGATATTTGGTTATTTGAAAAGCCATCAAGACAAGATGGAACATAGTCACATGCCCAAAGATTGAAATTTCTTGAAATGTGTTGCCTTTTTTCTGAGGAGATCTTCTTACGTCCCAGGCCCTGGAGAAGAATCACAAGAAGGTTAGGAGAAAAATATTCAGGGTCACACAGTTCGGATGTCTTTAGTAAAACCACCTTCATGACATCCTATCTCTAAATGCACAGTATGACCACCCTTACAAGAAACATCCTTTATCAACCTGTTGAAGGCTATAAATTGACACTCACAACATCCTGGTTCTCAGAGCCTTCCACTCCCACCAAGAGGACTGGACTTCTAGAGACATGGAGGGCAGAACCGGAGAGACCACAGCCTGGACTCCCTGGGACCCCAAGTAGGTTCTCTGCACCCAGGTGGCTCCTCAGCATACCCACCCCAGGCTGCATCTCCAGCACTCAGTGGGATGGTTCTTACACCGAGAGATCCAAAGATTCTTTCCTATCCCAGAGGATTCCCAATGAAGAAAGCAGCACCTTTGGGTCTCTGATCACAGGCTTCCTCCCATTAGAAAATTTTAAATTACATATGCGCTCGCAATCTCTTTTCGTTGCCCAGTGCTTTGTTAACCACCACTAACCAGTGCTATCAGACTTTATTTTCTTCAGTGATGGGGAAACACCACCTCCAGAGAAAAGACAACTGCAGTTACTAGGAAGTCCTTCTTTATATCATGTAAGCTCCCCATCCATTCCTTTGACTCCTCACGGATCCTGGCTCTGCCATCCAGAGACACACACAGGCAATCCGTCCTTCCCATGACAGATCTTCACAAGAAATCTCACAAATGAGACAGCTGATGGGAAAGCACCTTGATGAGCATGAAATTCACAGAAACCTAGGCGGAAGGAAGGCTGGTGCAGATTTTTAAAGCTATGTGGGACTCTGAGAATTTTATGCTTTTTCCCCCCCTGGTAACCTGTTATGAGGCTTTAATCTTGTTCCAATTTTGAGGTCAGTCCTCTATCTTCAACACGTCTCAGAAAATCAAAAACCCTAATGTCGCTTCTCATTTTATTAGCAACTTGGAGAGAAATACTCACAGAGTCGAGGTAGAATCCAGAGTTCTGAGAGCTGTGACGATTGTCGTGTACAGAGAAGGGGAAGTTGTTATTCACTGCTTGCTGGAAAAGAGCAAGGGAAGAGATAAAAAGGCACACATCAGAACCCCAGTATGCTTCCAGAACACACCTACAGGGGCATGGAAGGAAGACGGAGGAGGCAAAGTGACCTCTAAGTAAGAATTAAACCCATCAGGGCTTCCCTGGTGGTGCAGTGCTTAAGAATCCACCTGCCAATGCAGGGGACACAGGTTCAAGCCCTGGTCCGGGAAGATCCCACACGCCTCAGAGCAACTAAGCCCATGCGCCACAACTACTGAGCCCACGCGCCACAGCTATTGAAGCCCGTGTGCCTAGAGCCCGTGCTCTGCAGCAAGAGAAGCCACTGCAATGAGAAACCCGTGCACCACATCGAAGAGTAGCCCCGCTCGCCACAGCTAGAGAAAGCCCTCGCGCAGCAACGAAGACACAAAGCAGCCAAAAATAAACAAAATAAATACATTTATTTTAAAAAAGAAGAATTAAATTCATCGACAGCGATGGTGCACACAGCACAGGGTGAGGTCTTGGGTGTGTGCAACAGCTCAAGGCTTTGAACCTCAACCTTATTTTGCCAGATTGCTGAAAATCATAAAAAATTCTCTTTAAAACATTTTATTGAGAGGCAAGGAAGGGAAAGTCTGTAGGCATGGAATTGAAAGCTGGAAAAGAATTTTGAGGCCATCTTCTTCTTCTGCCCAATATGGATTCTAGTAGACCAGAGCTCTCTGGTCCAGGGCGGCTAAATGTGAAGTTAACCCTGTTTCTCCCTCCGGCCACTTCATGCCCCTAAAGTTGCTCATGAACTGGCCAGCAAGGAAGAACGTGCATGTTGAGAACTCTGTCCATAGGGATGTCCCTGGCGGTCCAGTGGTTAAGACTTCGCCTTCCAATGCAGGGGGTACAAGTTCAGTCCCTGGTCAGAGAGCTAAGACCCCACATGGCTCACGGCCAAAAAACCCCGAAAACATAAAACAGAAGCAATATTGTAACAAATTCAATAAAGACTTTAAAAATGGTCTACATCCAAAAAAAATCTTCACAAAGAAAAGAAAAGAACTCTGTCCATAGAGGAGCCTAACTTTATTGTCTGGACCAGAGGTATTTCCTTTTAAAGACTATCTGAGGTATCGTACTGACCAGTGTATGAGGTAGGATGCTACCAGAATTTAGGGGTCCAGGGAGGGCAAGTGAGCAGTTCCCTCTGAGAAAGAGTTGTCTGGTGCCAGCGGTGCCACCCCCTTGAAGAGCCAGGGGGGCACATGGCCGGCTCTCAGGACTCACCTTCTCCCGCACTTTGTAGATCGGCGGTAACTTCTCCTCCACTTGCCGAGATAAACGTGGACTATTGGACTCTTTTAACATGGTACGTGTGATGGATTCTGGTGTCTTTTGCATTAGTCCAATGTGAGGGAACTGGAAAAACAGCACACGCCTTGATTAAAACCAGACACATCTGAATCTCTAAGCCAAGTATCAGGGCTTCCTCTGTAAAGGGATTAAAATGCAATTTGGGTGCTTCTGGCATGCGATGGAAATGGCATAATTTTTGTAATTTTCAAGTATTCTTTCCAAGACAAAAAATATTGTCATGGCCCGAGGCCACCACTGCGGTTGTTTCAAGTTACAGGGGCCACCCTGCCGCTCGGAGCCTGGAAATGTTTCCGAGGCCTGGTGAGGAGGGCGTGGCCCCGTGAGAGGGAGTTGATGTGCTCTGAGGAGACAGAATGCATTATTTGAGATCTTCCTTGTGGTAAGGGAGCTCTCTGCACTTGGGGCCAAGGATTCAGCCCATGTTCACAGGGGTCAGCCTACCTCCTGCAGGTATGAAGTGGACCTCAGGACACGGGGAAGGGGAGGAGAGAAGGGTCACGTTGAGTCTCCATGGAGAATGGAGAATGGTAGAGGGTGGGAAGATTATTTGGATGGCTGGGGGTGGGCTTTAGCATCTCTCTATGAACAGAAGGGAAGAAAGCAGGACTGGGCCTAGGGAGGCAGAGTCCCAACAAAGGCCTGGACCAAGCCCACAGGGAGCTCTAGACATGGATGCCTTCTCAGAGTCAGCCTGATGGAGTGAGGGGACTGGGCCCTTGTGAGCCTTTGTCAATCAGTCACTGGGTAGAAGAGGGTGGTGGGGACCCAGGAAGTGACCTTGGGGCAGCAGCTCTTTTCAGCCAAGGAATATCTAGGGGTGGACCTCCCAGGCCACACTTTCAGCAGCTGTGCAAGTAGTCCATTCCCAAATTCCCCCTGAAGAGGGATGCGAGTGGTACTTGACAGCCACTGTAGCTCACCCCAATTTTATATAAACAGTGCCTCTTAAAAGCCACCCCAACAAAGTGGACTTTGAAGCAGGGATCTCAAGGAGAGGAATATGAATGGAAACTACAATACAAACAGAAGGCAAGACCCTGACTCTTAGTGAAAATTCCTGTAAAGGGAGGAAGCATAACGTGGTGGGTCACAAACAGTAGATTCAAACGCCCTGAGACCAATCCCAGCTCTCTCTCCCATGAGGTCAGCCTTCCGCAAGAGACTTAATTTTTCCAGGCCCCAGTTTCTTTATCTGTAAAATGGAAATAACAATACTTATTTGATAAGGTAGATGTGATTAAGGGAGAAAATGCACGCACCCAGCAAGTGTTCAATAGCTGTTGGCAGGTTCTAGTTTTGCTCACAGCTGTCCCCTCCCTTGTCACCAAACCCATTGTCACACCCAAAGCCAGTCCTTCCTTCTCTTTGGGATTATAATGACATTAGCTAACACTGCCCCTCTCTCCCATTCCTTCTCAAGTCATGATATAACTGCACATCTAAGTATGGCTTTTGTTTAATTTCTGCACAGGAGTGTGTTTAGTATGCTACTATTTATGTCAAAAGGTAGAGAGATTATGTCATCTATGTGGTATACTTGGTGGGGCATTGTTGGCAGAGCAAAGGAGAACCAATTGTCCAGATGACACATAGCCTCAGAGAGATCTTGTAAACTCAGTGCTGAGTGGAAAGAAGAAACAAAATGAGATCTGTAACCCAACACCATTTATGTAAATAAATAATCCATGCTCACAAAACGACAATACATAATTTACAAGAACCCATCTCAGTAAAAGAACTCCCATTATACACGTGTGAATAGCTGCCTGTGGGGTGAGCAGAGTAGGAACAGGGATCAAGGGCAAGGAGACAGCCACACAAATCAACACACCATCATGTGGACGGGCTCTTCCATGGCCAAGCGACAGGGTTACCTCGGAGGAGGGCACCAGGGAAGGAAGAAGACTTTTTTGCCATCGTTTATATGTTTCTTAATGAAGTGCATCTATTAACTGCCTCGTTTTCCCAACGAAAATAATTGTATTTGTTTCTGATCAGAGTTATAATACATGCTTATGGGTTTTAAAAGTTCAAACAATAAAGAAAAACATAAGGAAGGAAGTAGAATTCCCCTGAAATCCCATCACTCTTTTCCCTTAACTCTTTTTTTTTCTTTTTTTTAGCTGTGTTGGATCTTCCTTGCAGTGCGCGGGCTTCTCATTACGGTGGCTTCCCTTGTTGCAGAGCACAGGCTCCAGGCACGCAGGCTTCAGCAGTTGTAGCACGCGGGCTCAGTAGCTGTGGCACATGGGCTCTAGAGTGCAGGCTCAGTAGTTGTGGTGCATGGGCTTAGTTGCTCCACGGCATGTGGGATCTTCCTGGGCCAGGGCTCAAACCCGTGTCCCCTGCATTGGCAGGCGGATTCTTAACCACTGCGCCACCAGGGAAGTCCTCCCCCTAACTCTTTGGTGACCAACTTCGTCATGCATCCTTGTGCAACTGTACACCCATATATATGCATAATTTGCACATATAGGATTGTATTATAAATGTGGCTTCAAAAATTATAAATTTATAAAATTATAAATGTGACCTTTTTATTTATTTTTCTGATCTCTGTTTTACTTTTTTATTTGAATTTTATCTATTTTTTATACAGCAGGTTCTTATTAGTTACCTATTTTATACGTATTAGTGTGTATATGTCAATCCCAATTCATCCCCCCACCCCCACCCACCCTGCTTTCCTTCCTTGGTGTCCATATGTTTGTTCTCTACATCTGTGTCTCAACTTCGGCCCTGCTAACCGGTCCATCTGTACCATTTTTCTAGATTCCACATATATGCGTTAATATATATTTGTTTCTCTCTTTCTGACTTACTTCACTCTGTATGACAGTCTCTAGGTCCATCCACGTCTCTACAAATGACCCAATTTCGTTTCTTTTTACGGCTGAGTAATATTCCATTGTATGTATGTGCCACATCTTCTTTATCCATTCATCTTTTGATGGACGTTTGGGTTGCTTCCATGTCCTGGCTATTGTAAATGGTGCTGCAATGAACATTGGGGTGCATATGCCTTTTTGAATTATGGTTTTCTCAGGGTATATGCCCAGTAGTGGGATTGCTGGGTCATACGGTAGTTCTATTTTTAGGTTTTTAAGGAACCTCCATAGTGGCTGCACCAATTTACATTCCCACCAACAGTGCAGGAGGGTTCCCTTTTCTCCACACCCTCTCCAGCATTTGTTGTTTGTAGATTTTCTGACGATGCCCATTCTGACTGGTGGGAGGTGATCCCTCATTGTGGTTTTGATTTGCAATAAATGCCTTTTTATAATTTAATGGTAACTTTTGGTTTCTGTTTCCTTCCCCTTCTTGTCACCCCCACCAACACCCCAGATAACAGTGATAACAATAGTAATGACGATAGCTCTCGTACGATCCTTTACAAACACCCGTACCTACAAAAGGGACTTACACTGCTTTATAAAAATTGGACCATATGATACACACTATTTTACACCTTGCTTTTCTCACTTAACAATATACCCCAGAAATTTTTCAAAAGCAACCTACACATTTCTAATTCATATATATTTTTCTAATTCATTATATATTTTTAATGCTTTTAAACAATTTTTAAGTAAATATAAATAATACGGAGGGCCTCCAGACTCAGAACCTTTCCCTTTTCCCCTCCTCCAATCTGATTTTCCAAGTTATGGAAAATCAGGCCAAGGTGGAGAGATTTTCTACATCACGAAGGATCCCTGTCACCAGCTAAATGACAACTGACTTGAGTTCATTTGTATTCTGCAAGTCTGTGGACTAAATCACTGTAAAAAAAAAAAAAATGGCTCTAGCATTTTAATTTCACTCTTTTAAAATATATACTTAATGGCTATAACATGATAGCTGTGAAATAAACCCTTCTGTTAGATATTGTAACCGTGAAATACAGCTTTTTAACTAGTTGGCAGTGAAATTTTTGCTGCATTCAATCACTCAATGACTGAAATATTAAATAGGAAGGTGAAAGTGTGTGCAGAGAGCCTTTTCTACCTAGTAACAGCCAGATTACCACCAGCAGGGTCAACCGCGAAATGACTGTCACCTCCAGTGTGGCAATTCGTCTCCCAAATGGGCTGCTGCTGATGCAAAGCCAACAATTCCTTTAATTCCCAAAATTTACTTTGGGAAACTTCACGTCAGCACTATTCTTTTTATGCTCTTAGGAGCCGGCGGCAGAAAGGACCCACACCAAAGGCTCCCCACTTAAACTGGGCCCAGGTACATTCCTGGGACACCAATAGGAGATGCAACGTTCTTTCTCTATTTCTGCCTTATAACAGAACCCTGACTTTGTTTGGGGTGGCGACGTGGTTGGTTAAAAAATACCCCCCCAAACTCCCTTGCAGCTAAATTGGCCATGTGACCAGTTGAAATGAAAGCAGAAGTCTGTGGGTGGGGCTCGTGGGAAAGAGATTGTTTCCCCTAGAAAATGGGGCAAACTTAGCTGACAGCTGCCTTCCATCTATTTATCCGTTGACTTTCCTCTTTCCGGTAAATCCGTTGATTTACCTGCCTGAGTTGACACACTGCACTAAGGATAACAGGACAGGAGGCTGAAAAGAACCTGGGCCTTTGACAACGCCCTAGGGCATCTGTACCAGCCCTGAACTGCCTCCCTCTGGACTGATTGTTACTAGAGAAACACAGACCCCTGTCTGGATAAGGCACCGTAGTCAGCTTTTTATAATATTCAGTCAAACACAGCCCTAACTGATACTGTAGGTGATAAAAAGAGGCCAAGCTATTTAGTCTGAGAAGCTTACGTTGTCTCTTCCTAACCAATTAGTGTATGTAGTTCACGTTATTTCCCATTTTACTTTGGCTGCCATGAAACTCAGAGTCAAATGTTATATCCAAATAGCTACTATTTAGGCCATATGGCCTGCATGTCTATATGACATATTTTCCCAGTCTCAGCCTCTTAAATTATATTTAAACTGGTTCTGAATTCTTATTTTTATATACTTTACTACTTTATTGTGAATATTTTCCATTCATTACTTTAAATCTGTGAAATGGAGCAGGGTATACAAGAAAGAATATCAGTATAAATATATATCCCTTGGAATCTGTGGGGGATTGGTTCCCCCCATCCCACCTTGTGGGTATCAAAATCCAAGGATGCTCAGGTCCCTTAGTTGCCCTTCAGTACCCGTGGGTTCTGCATGGTGGACATATATACATATATATATTACATATCTACATATGTTATATATTATCTATATAATAGCAAGTATTGAGTGGTTACTATGTTTCCATTGCATTATACTAAGCACCTTTGTATGAATTATCTCATTAATCCCCACCATGGCCTCTAACCTTAGTCTATTATGCTCCCATTTAACAGACAAAGAGACCGAGATTTAGAAAGACTAAGTTGCTTAGGGTTTTTAAAGCCTTCAGGCCCAAATTTTCCAAGATGTTTTCCATTTTTCTTTTTCCTTTTAAACAAACAAATTAAAAAAAAATTTCTATGTATTACTGCCCTAGAAGAGGCTAGTACCGCTATTTTCTGTGATACAACCAGTGGGGAAAAGAAAAGACGAAGATAACCAGCCTCATGGGGTTTATATAATAAATTATATAGTGTGTCAGAAGATAGATGTTATAGAAAAGAGAAAACGCAGAGCGCACACCAGTTACTGCTTAGTGAACAGTCACAAGTTGCCAGCCTGCTGAGCGCTTTACACTCAGATTAATTTCATTTGATCCTCCCAAGGATACTATGAGATTCCCATTTCACAGATGAAGGAACTGAGGCTGGGTGAAGTGATTTGTCAGACGTCATACTATGGTAAGTAGCAGAAGTGTCCTGACCACACCCACATGGCCTGAGAAAGATGAGAGAGGGCATCATCCTTCTTACCCATCTTCCATCCTTGTCTAAAGGTGGGTTGAAGCGTCTCCCTTTGGCCATTTTCTGCAGGAAGCTGAAGGGGGCTGAGGTTGGCTCTCTTATCCCTCCATCGCCTCATGAGTTCTATACCTGGGAAGCCACTCCTCCTTGCTCCTGACCTTTAATTCTCAGCCTCTACCAGGAGGGGAAGTCCAGGAGTGGTCCCTGTTGTCATAGCATCAGAGCCCACCCATCACAATGGGGGAGGAGTGCGGGTGTTCCAAGCCCCTCAAGGGCTCCTGCCTCGGGTCACTTGCAGCTGCCGCTCCCCAGTGTGTAAGCCTCCAGGTCCCAGGTGAGAAAGCCATACACACAGGTCACACAGGTGTGGACCAGACAGTCTTGAGATAATGGCGAACTCTGTACCCTCCAAATCCTCTGATGACTTCTGAGTTGAATATCCTCATGGTAACCATCTATTCCAACCTCTTAGTTTTCAGAGAAGTGAGTTGACTCTGCCTTGTCTACACCAGCCAGGACTCAGGCCTCCCCACGTGCTCCTTTCCTGGCTGCCAGCACGTCCCAGCTCACCCACTGTGACTCCCCTACTGCACACTGCTGAGGCCATGAGGAAGCAGCAATCATGAGTAGTTAGTAAATACTGGGTGCTGTGCTGAGCGCTCTCACGTGTTTTACCTTTTCTCCATGAACCTTTGGGGTTTACAAATGAGGAAACAGAGCCACGTACCCAGTGGAGGGGGCGCCGGGTCACGGGACAGCTCCAGGGCTCGCAAGCCTTTCGAGGGCCACCTGGCGTCCCCCAAGCTGCAGAAGTGGCTCCTGAGAGCTGACCTTCCTCTTGGGGCCCGGACACTCAAGTCCTACCTCACTTCTACTCAGTTACGTGATTTCTGCTTTTCTTTCCCCTCCC